TTCTATATCTCTCTCGGCCTCTTTTTATCTCTCTCTCTCAGCTGGGAAGACAAGACCTCGGATGCCGTAGTTTAACTGTATTTTTGAAAACCTGGTGAGAAAAATGAAAAGGTATGCCATGCCGCTGACCTTGACACCTTTAAACACTTTCGTAATACCAATTACATATGCACACACACATAAGAACCTTCCATCATTGGTGCACAAAGCTCCCATTGTGCATTTGAGTGTGTGTGTGTGTATGTGCATGCGTGCATATGTGGATGTGTATATTGGGCCCCCTTCACGAGGTCAATGGGGGGCATTTACTACTAGAACTATAGTCGTGTTTGGGAGATGACTAAGAGAAGACTATTTTGCCTGCCGGACCCCAATCGCATTATCATTAGATTTCCTTTTTAGATTTCATTTATGCCATTTTTGCAAAAACACCCTTCCGCCCCATTCTGCCTTGCTCAACAAGCTTCTATTTGTTGCGCTGTAAACCTGGCCGCAACATATACGAAGTTGCTTTGATCAGTCCTTCATGAAGTTTTAATGACTGCTCATTAATCAGTACTTTTAGCTGTCAGTGATTAATCTTCCTCATTCATTCTGAATCCTGGGTTGAGTGATCATTGGTCTCAAATGTGTGGGAGTTAATTGCAGTGATTGTGGTGTTTTGTGTAGACTTTTCAGCGGGTGAGAAGTCGAAGTAAAGGACAACAGGCTGAAGGATCACTTTGATTTGTTATGACATCTAACTTGTTTCTGTGTAAGACAAGTAATTTAAAGCATGACTGAAATTAGGGCTGTGCCATAAGATGCAGTCATGCGTAGGAATAAAGAAATTGGTAATTTTTTGAATTTGTTGGTTATATAATTCAAGGTGTTAATTCAAGCCTATCTTCCTATCAATTTAAGTGTGCACTAAACTCCCATTTTACTGTATTCACACTTGATTTGATTGCTTTGTCTGAACGTTTATGTCCTCAACTCCCTATATAGTGATCATTTTATACCCATAATGCACTCTGATTTATGGTGTACAGCTAATAGCTGAAGCTACATTGTATTTTGAACTGGTGCTGCTTTTTCACTTTTTATCATCAGTTGATTAAAATTTAGTGAGTTAGAATTATTGATGTTTGTTTTAGCTGTTAATTAAGTTTATTGTCATGTGCTTATCTTTTTTTTGATGCTGTGTTTAAATTCACCCAGTTATTTTGTTCACTTATTTTCCATGTAGTGAACTAAACTATTGTTCAAAAGTTTGGAGATTTTTAAAAATGTTTTTGAAAGAAGACTTTTATACTGACCAAGGCAGATTTAAAAAAAATCATAAATACAGTAAAAACTGTAAAACTGTGAAATATTAGTACAATTAAAAATATCAGTTTTCTATTTTAATATATATTAACATATAATTTATATCTGTGATGCAAAGCTGAATTTTCAGCATCATTACTCCAGTCTTCAGTGTCACATGATCCTTCAGAAATCATTCTAATATGCTGATTTGGTGCTCAAGACAATTTCTTTTTAATTTTAACTTTTTTTAATCAATGTTGAGAACATTTGTGCTGCTTAATATTTTTTGTGAGAACTTTTTCAGGATTCTTTGATAAATAGAAAGTTCAGAAGAACAGTATTTATTATGTGTCTTTCCTTTCAAACGCGGTAAAATATATGTGATTAACTGAACAAGTGAGCGATTTCGGACACAGCAACAGTGCTCTGGTCCCGTTCAGATTCGTGAACGTGCAAAAGTGTTCTGTGCGTCTGAAAATACCATGGAAAAAACAGCACATAAATTACCTCTTTCTTCTCCCTATGAATCCATTTTGGAGTAATCTTTATGACGTACTTACACTGCTATGTCCTTCCATCGCTTTGATATTCTTGGATTCCCAAAAAAGGGTTATTTCTGTAAGCACACGGTTATGGTTTTCATTAAGTTACAAGAATATGTGAATTGCCCATCAGTGCTGCACTAAAGAAGCACTACAGTTCGTCCTATGCCGTGTACCACTTTGTATGTTCCCAAGGCCCATTTGCTTTGAGTATGACTCCTCTTTTTCTCTCTATCTCTTTTTTTCTCATCTCTGTCTCTCCCCCTCTCTTTCTCTCCTGCGCGTCTGTCTGTCATTCTGATTAGAGACGGCGGGGTCGTGCCACAAAGGAGAGGAGCGAAAGAAAACATCTCCAAACGAGGCCACAAACCAGATCTCTTTCTCTGTCTTGCTCGTTTTGAGTCATTTGCTTATGCACCAGCAAATGGCTGTATTCAGTGTTTTACACCCAGAGCCGTCTTCAAATTAACATCAATTACTGGTAGACGTCAGTTTTTCCTCCAATGTTAATTAGAGTGTAATGATTGAGGTTGAGCATTATGTGGGAAATGTATCATGGCTAATGAAAGACAAATGTTGTTTATCATTTATTTTGCCATCGCTCACATTTAAAGATTAAGTGTGGGATTTCGTCGCATTCTTAATATTTGGAAGTCCCCAGAGATGAGGTTCGCATACAAGAAGAAGTCAAGGGCTGGCCTATGTGCGTGTGCTCGCTAGTAGCATTAACGCTGAACTGGTAATTTAGCACTTACTTGCAAATGCCTTACAAATGTCATCTACTACCCTTGAGTTTCCACTGACAACTGCTCCCGCTCTGAGCGCGAGAAAGGGAGGCGGTGGAGGAAAAGAATGAGAGATAAGGAAAAGAGAAGGCCACCTACAGACTCACATTCGTTTCTCACTCCAGCCCACATTTAGCACTCTCAATAACAATTGCATTTTTCTTAGTAAACAACCTTGAAGAACATTCTGTCGCGTTCAAGCCATATGCTACGACACTGTTACACTTCACTTCGTACAAATAATAAGCTATAATTTCAGCATCTGTTGGATCCATGGCCTTTTCTGCAAAAAGGTTATTGCTCGTTCTATATTTACAGTCCTCAGCTTATATTTATGTCTGTTAAACTTACCTTCAATGCCAACAATGTTGGTTCCCTATGTTACTTTTTAAAGCAAGCTCATTCTCAAACTTTGAGTCATATCAGCAGGGGCGAAGGAACATACAAAAAAAAATCCATGAGTGTTTCATTAACCTTAGAATAACCTTAGTTGCACTTTCCCACAACACTACCAGTTGTCAAGCTTCAAAAAATGACTAAATTAATATCAAAGCATCAAGTGTGCACAAGTTGTATACACTACCTCTTTGAACTCCATTCATGAACAGAGCAGCACTGATATTCTTCTAAACTGAGTTCCACTGAAGAAAGAAAGACATTTGGATTGGAAACAATGCGAGGATGAGTAAATAAAAACAGATTTGCAGTCTCTGTGTGAGCCATTATTCACAAAGTAACACAACAAGCCTTAATACAAAGCTCATTTTTAGCAGTGTCAACTTTGAGGAACGTGAGACCACCACTGACGACAGATTTTATTGGTTTTTGGTCTGTTTCTGTGGAACAACATCGGCAAATTTTTTATTTTTTTTGCATTAATTTTACAACCAAACAAGGTACATAATCACATTCCAGAATATAACCCATTTTATTCAGCCTTGGTTGAGCATAACCAAAAACAAACAAAAAAAAAATGTATGCGTCAAAATAAACCAAACTAAACCAGAAAATAAATACATAAGAAGCTTCAAAAATAAAATACAACAAAATGGGCTTTTAAATTAAAGGGGTGGTTCACTGGGTTTTTTTCTAGGCTTGATTGTGTTTATAGGGTGCAGTCTAACATGTGTTAATGCTTCATTTTTTTTAAAAACGCATTATTTTTCACATAATTTACCTTTATTCCACACTGCTCTGTCCCTTCTCTGAGAAATGCGCTGATCATTTCCTGCTTTTATGAAGACCCTGACCTCGCCCCCTTTGCTGCCTTTTCCCAAGGGCGGGATTTATCTGGGTTTGTTACGTCACGAACCCGGGAAGTAATGCCGAGTTCACACTGCACGATTTTCAAACTCGTCGGATCGCCGTTGTTTTCACACTGCGTGACCTCGAACTTCCCGCTGCCCTGTATCTTGGTCTCTCATTGGCTGTAGGTCATCGCCGATGTGTTTTTCAGTCAGAACTCATTTCACACAGCGTGATTGTAAATCGCCGACAGCTCCAGATATTTAGCATGCCAAATATTTTGCGGGTGTCTGCGATTCCCTTTGATAATTCACACTGCGTGATTGTCACTCGTGTGAACTCCGAAATTTGCCTCCGATTTCGGGCATTTGTCGGCGATTTCGCAAAACCTGTCGGCGAGTGAAGAATCATGCTAAAATCATGCAGTGTGAACTCGGCATAACCTGTTGTAGCCCCTACCAGCCGTTTTTGTATGCATTAAACTGCCAGAATTTTAAAAGACGATATCTCCCGTTTGCATTGAACTTTCAGCTTCGTAACTTTGCAGATATTGTTTATGCTCAAACAGCAACATTACACACTGACTAACATTAAAAAAGTAAAATCGCAATCAACCACCCCTTTAAATTATACAAATCCAAGAGAGAAGTCAGCTTAAGGGCTTTCTTGTTCTTAACAAATTTTAAAGATTTGTGACCCTGGACCACAAAACCTGTCATAAGTAGCATGGGTATATTTGTAACAGCTAGCCAAAATACATTGTATGGGTGAAAACTATCAACTTTTCTTTTATGTGAAAAATAATTAGGATATTAAGTATGATCATGTTCCATGAAGATATTTTGACTGATATTTTGAAAACGTAATTTTTGATTGGTAATATGCATGGCGAAGAACTTAATTTTAACAACTTTAAAGGCGATTTTCTGAATATTCTGATTCCAGATTTTCAAATAGCCTATAGTTGTAACCTATCCTAACAAGCCATACATCATCTGAAAGCTTATTTATTCAGCTTTCAGATGATGTATAAATCAATTTGATAAAAAAATTTTTTACACATATTGTGAAATTTTACACATTACATTGTGGTCCAGGGTCACATTTGTATAAGACATGCTAGCCAAGATCGGACGGCGTTGGCGGTCTCCGCAGTAACGCCGCGGCACAAATGGCAAGTGGGCGTGGCTACGCGCTCTCTCCACCCCTCCCTCCCCCGCTTCGCGTGGGCTGGAAGAACGAAACACGACACCCAGATAGAGGAGGAGGAGGAGGGAGAGAGTTACACGGAGTAAGTGGAAAAAGAAAAAGTCCGTGGAAAGAGAGGGAGAAAAGTGGATCGGGCATTTCTGCCTTCTCGCTTGTTTTGATTTTGTCGGCTTCGCCTCGTGTTTCAGCGAGAAGGCTTGAATATGCAACTTCGCAGCGTATATGAAGTAATCAGGAGTTCAGCGCGGACACGGTCCTCCTCCATCGGCACGACGCGCTCCGATATCTGACCGTAAAAGAGCGATTCTGTCCGGCCACAAGGCAGCGACGAGCGTCCTCCACGTTGTGGAGGAAAAACAAAACGCGAAAACTCCAAACAAACCGGGGGAGGACGTGTGAAGGGGCTGGATTTGAGGAGGAAAAGTTTACAGAGGAGTTTTGTGTGTGATCCTGAGCTCACCGAGAGGAAGAAGTTCACTTCATCTCTCTCTCTCTTTCTCACTCTCTCTTTCTCAGTTAGCACGACTGCTAACGAAGCGGCTATACTCTCCAACATGAAGACCCCGGGCGATACGGGTAAGTTTTCCCACACAACAACAACAATAGATCGGTTTAATCCAACTTTAGATTACTGTTATAAGAAAGTCAAGATGCCAGAAACGCATTTTAGAGAGTTTTTGTCGTTTTAGATGAGTTTCACTCTGGATATGCAGCCCGCTAATTTCGCTCGGATTGGGTGATGTTTATAATATTCGTATTTTAAGCGACTTTTTGTGAACTGACTTAAGTCAGTCAAGCGTTAAAAGTCACGGTGTGCGATAAGGGGTTGTTTTGAAGGGTTTATAAAGTTGAAAGTATGAACAAGCAGGCAGCTAACGTTAGTTGGCATAGTTTTAAAGAGTTTTGGGGCTTTCGTCAGTTTTTGTGTTGGCTATACAAATCACTTCCATATTGTATGACTTCTACAGGTGTTTGTGTGTAGCTGTCATTCTGTCTGCTTCGTTTACCCAAACAATTTTGCTTATAGGGATTAAAATCGATATTTTAGGGCACACGTTTTCACAACTTTTGAACCGTCCCGACATAGACAGTCAGGTCTGTTTTAGATATAATTCACATGGTAAACGCGTTTATTATGCTCCCAGGTGCATTCAACGTTATGAGAACATGTAAATGTGTTTTAAATAGCTTTATAACCGCTTGTGTTGATCCAGTATGGCATCCACCATTTGCGAGCAACTTTCAGCCATTTGGCCCTGAGAAAGTGGCATCCCATCACAGCGCCTCTCTGTGTGTGTTGGAGTATTTTACACAAGATATTTCACATTTCTTTCTTCTGTTTACTGTTGTGTTCAGTTCATTTAGAGGGTTTTGTGTCTAAAAATGTAAAGTTAAATGTTTCACTCAGCTACAGGTCGTTAAGTAAGTCCTGCTTTTCTTTGTTTACTTTGTATGGAGGCTCAAGCTGACAATCACTTTTACTTGCTTGATCTGGTTGTTTGACAAGGTAAAACCACTTTTCTGTACCTTTCAAATGGGCAGGAACGTAATATGATTTTTACTTTCAGTTTTACATGATGTAACTGTAATATAAACAACAACATGTCAAAGATATAAACATTTACCTTGAGTTCAGTTCATGTTGCTACTAGATTAAGACTCTACTACTAGATTAACTCATCTGACTATTTGTAATATCACCCTTGTGCATCAGTTATCTTAAAGTAGTCTTGCATTGTAATCTGCGCTTTATAGCAGCTTGATTCATAAGATCTTGGTGAATATTCATCTGCTTGTATGGAAAAATGCTGCCAGTTCATGTCAGCTCAGTCTCCGTTGGGTGTCTGAGCTCCACCAACGCTGAAGTCGTGGTCTTATGCATTAAACCATTAGCTAATTCTTCCATTCATCCTCCCCCTCATTTGGTTTGCAGTATAAAGTAAGCCTTCTTATGGTATGGTAGAAGTTTTCCATGTTGTGCGTCGTGTCTGGGACGCAAGTCTGCGTTTTTGCGTGGGCGTGCAGAGGTGGGGTTCTGCACACGCTTACTAGCTCATGTCCACTCCGAACAGTGGGATTTTAAAGGTAGCAGAACTCACAAAGTCTCTGATAGTAGTCATTTTCATTGGCCCAGGGCATTTCATTAAGTGTTCCTGCATGAGAAGTGCATTGTGGGTAACAGTGCCCAACATGTAGGTCAGGTATTTGCTGAAATTGATTTTATCCATCACCCAACCTTTTACTTTAAGATTGGAAAATAAACAGAAGGTGAAAAGAGTTTCTACAAGCGGAAATGAGCTGTACGGTTAGCCTTTGTGCCATATCAAATTGTTCCTTTTAGGCGAGGTGTTCCCCGCCCAGGTCACCTAGGCTTTGTGTTGGAGTGATGAGATCGGCCCCTTTCTTTTGAATAGCTACTTTGCCACCCAAGGGATTAAAGAGTCACCTAAACCAGCTATTTTACCTGCCGGTTAATAATATTGTGTTGGAATGAAGTCACTGCCGTACTGCTTTGATCACATGTGAGTTTTTTTTCTACTGTTAAGTTTTGTATCAGAATTTGGCTTAGATGACAGAAAAACATTTATTTTGTATTAAACCTCTGCTGTTGAAGTTCCAGTGTGCTTCTCGCTAGGGTTTATGCAAAAAGATCTTAGTCGTTTGCACTTTGGCACTCTTGTTTGGCCGTCAACTCTCGCCCAGCTAAGCATGATATCTGTCTGTCTGCTTTGTAGGCCAATAAGTGGCCTATTTTTGGTGCCTTTTTCCAATTGCGTTATTCATTATATCAACAGTTTGCCACATGTGGGTCTCACATCTGGAACCGGGCTCTCTGTTGTCTCTTCCAGCGTATGAAGTTTAAGGGACCCACATGGGCAATTAGCCAGTGCTATGGGAGGGTGGCGGTGGGTGCCATTATTTTTCAAAGGAGGGTCTGGGTCAGGGTGGGCTGAGCGTAGGTGTTGGTGTTTAATTTCTCCTTCACTGCAAGGTATGATTCACTGTTCCATTGGCAAGAATGTGCCATGGGTGTTTCATTTTACTATTTGGATGTTTTTGCATATTTTTTTACTCTTTTTACCTCTTTGTAAGCAGTAGTCAGGGAGTTGAGTGTTAATGCTGTACTAAATTCACCCTGAAACCTTCAGTTTGAAAATTCAGCTACTCCATAACAAACCATTGAGTATGGAGGAACCTTTTGTTTCTCTGTTTTAAATGTTTGGATTCCTTTTAGACAACTAGTCTTGCTTTTTGAGTTAACATGTGTAATCAGGCCCGCTTACTTGTATGACTTAACCTGTCTAGAGTCGCTCAGGAAGTGTGCATGCGATTGGCTGGTGTGTTTTATGTGGCTCGGCAGACTGGCTGTGTTTCCTGGCCTGTGTTTTTTCCTGGAAACTCTGTCTATAGCAAACATCTAACCCAGCCACACAGTGAGACTCGTATACTACGATTTGACCTATAGTGAAACAGTTTACTTTCTCCCTAAGTATTAAGCTTCCTTTCAGAATATTTGGAAAATTATCCTAGCAGAAGTGAAGTTTAGATATCAGCTACCAGATACTTTGAAGCTTCCTCGTCACATCTGTGGACTTTTTTCCCCCTCCCATTAAATAGACACATGAGTTATTATTTTTCCATTTGAATAAGGATGACTTCTGCCAGAGCTAAAGTTAGTTCAAACCGAAACCTCTGTCCTAAATTTTCTGCTTAAAATATAGACTGTAATATATAGTAGGAAAGCTTGTGATGAGCTCCTGTTGTCATAGGACATCCCGTTGGGTTTGTGCAAGGCATTTTCCGGCATCTAAATATGGATTCAATCACTGTGACCTGCATAATATGGCTCATCTTAGTACAAAAGGTCTTGAAATATCTTCTCTTTTTATCTTTCTTGAGTCAGTCTGTTTGTAGTCTCAAATCAATACCTTTCTGTCTGATTCAAGCAAGTTTTCTTGAAATGCAGGGTTGATCTTATGATGAGCAATGCGGTTTGTAATGGCGTGCTCATCGCATATGACTTCTCTATCTTTGTTTCTCTATAGTATGCAGGTGGTGTAACGTTCAGGTGGTGCGTTGTCATCTAGCGGCACACCTTTCTTTAATCTGCATTTCAGGTGCCCGTGTATCTAATGCCGTGCACGCTGGACCTTTGTGCCAAGCAGGTTGCTAACCAAGGTTTGAGCTCAACCGACTTGTGGAGTGTTGTGTCTAGTGGAGACCACGGTTTGGTGGGAACACTGAGGTTTTGTCGAGACTGCGGCTGACAGTTTTTCCCCCCGTGTGTGTTTGTCTGTGTGAGCGTGTGGCTTTGGCCGTCCTTTTGGTGTGTGTGTGGTCACGCTCGTGTAACAATTTGTGAGTTTGCGATGTGTATACTTTCCCTGACATTTTCAAGAGCGTTCCACTTTGGAGTTTGTGCCCAGGCTTATGGTGAGGAAAGTTGTGAAGTGTTAGTGAGCATTCGAGAGTTTATTTTCAGTTTAGAACTCGATCTGAAAAGGAAGAACGGGGCAACAAAAAAAAAATCCTGGGTTACTAGGTTGGGAAGATTTGTTGGCGTCACAAACACCACAAATCAGGTTTTTATGTCACGTCATATTGCACACTGCAAGCAAACAAATTATGGCAAATAATCAAACACACTTGTCTAAACTCTCACTTGTCTCTCATATGAAGTATTGCAAAGTCCAATTTTGTTGTAGTAAATCAGTTTGTTTGGATTGTTCATTTCAGTGAACTAGTTAAAAAATGATATGGTCTCTGTGAAAACACTTATGTTTTTCTTTTTTTTAATATATATATATATATATATGTTTGTGTATTTGTGGCTTTAAATACTGTGTTGTTAATGATAATTATAAAAATTATATTCATATATAATTAAATTATTATATTTTTGGTATTAGTCTAGATAGACTAGGTATTAGACTAGTCATCCAACAACTGACTAGTCAATTTGTTTTAAACACTTTCCTTAATTAAAAAAAATTCAATCAGAGTTTTTGTATTTCAGTTATGCTTTAGCTGTTGGACAGTTTACATTGTAAAACTATCTCAGAAGTTTTTTTGTGTTAAAAATAGTTCCACTTTTAACTTGAGACCTTATTTTTTTCCCGATGTGTTTGTTTCTGTTTGTTTTTCTAGATTTATGTTTTAGTGCATATTTATTGTTCGAATGTTTAATTTAGAACCTTGCTCTTTACATGCAAGACTTATTGATTATTAAGTATAGGCAATATAGCCTATGTTTAAAAAACGGTTTCCATTTTTCTTCATAGCTTGTAAGTGAATTGCATTGAACTAATTTTTTAATTTGTCTTTTATCGATTCTATCCTAAGATTCAACTTTTAAATATGCAGCTTACAGTTTTTTTTTTACTGTCCCCAAATCAAGTGAACTGCATTGAAGTAATTTTTGAATTTGTCTTTTATAGATTCTATCCTAAGATTCTAGATTCTGTCATTTAACAATTATTTTGGTGACAAATATACATCAGGGTGATTTTGTGACAGTGGTGCACCCTGTTCCCGTAATATGGTTGTAATGAAGACAAGAAGTCACTGTTGAAATG